GCCGTCAGGACAGGTTCGACTGTACTTTCATGATATGAAAAAATAAAATGAAGCTGGGATTCATTCCTCTCTTACCACCTTGAAGTTAATATAAAAACCCTATTGCGCTCTACCTTTACCCTTCTGCACAAGAACCGCACTCCTAAAGTATGGCGATGAGAATCAAGCAGTCTAGCAGAGTGTCCACAAGGAGCTCAGGTGCATGAATCTTGAAACGCTTGTGAGAGGGAGCAAGAGCATCAAAAGGTTTTTAAGAAAGGGCAGCAGTCACTTTTATGTTGTATAATAGAGGTAGTTTGTTACTTTGTTGCTTGTTTGTTTTTGTAATTTTCTTTTTTAAACCACTGCACATTCAGCACTTTCTCAAATCAAACCCAAAATGATAAAAAATCAGTTTGTATTTTTAACCATATATTTTCTTTTCGCAGCAGAAATATGGCATACATGTTCATGTCACAATAGTTGAGTCACTGTGTATACCACATCATGCCATCATAAGAGTTGTTGTCACAATGGTCACATGAGTAGAAGTAGACCAAATTAAGTTGGGGAGGTCTAATTATCATGTGAGTATACTGAGTAGGTAGGCCTGAGTTCCACTACACATCTCTCACACTGTCTCACAAGCTTAGGATCTTGTCACTGAGTCAGGTGACACAAATTAAATCATGGCAACAACAATGTTTCAAAAACAAAATAATCAACAGATCTATATTTAGGTTTCAATTAGGTGGTAGGCCTACATTTTTTACACAGCCTGATTTTTATAGAGAGTAACTAGGATAGGTCCAGTTCTAAATAATTAAATATTCAAGACCAAGAAGAGAATAAAGTAAGTAAGGTGGTTGGTTCTAACTAACTTGAAATTGCTTTCAAAACAAACCTAACATGATGTAGGCCATGATTATGATTATTTATAAAATTATGTAGAGAGTTTCTATAAAATAATAATATGATGCTATGGCATATTTAGAATCTAGTCTAGACTCTAGATCTAGAATCTGAGGTAGAATCTAGATCTAGACCCAGATCTAGATCTAGAATCTAGATCTAGATTCTAGATTAGACTATATATTTGTTGCAGAGTTTACTGGTAAAATGATACAGTTAACAGAAGCTTAAGCACACAGAGAGCTTTGAATTGTGTCAGTGTAAAATCAAGCTTCCAATCTCCCCTCTGACAGTTGAACAATTTAGATATATATATATCTAGACCTAGATCTAGATCTAGATTCTAGATCTAGAATCTAAGTCACAACAAGAAGGTTGAGAGAGACTATCGAGCGCGCTCATCAACTGCTGCCAAGACAAAATAATGTGAACGCGTGAGAAAGAATTCAACAACATGCAAAAAGTTAAAAAGCAAATCCTGCGTAGAAATATTGCAACTTAGCATGAGCAAACGAAAAGAAGATAAAGACTAACCATTACTAATTAACAAATCCCATGCAAGTTTCTGCTAAGTGCACGGTACGGCCCAATGTTTACAATCTTGCAGTGTCGAGATTGCTCCCGGAAGTCATTTGACTAAATGGAAATTAGATCTTGCCTGGGCCGAGAAGGCCACACATCAAAATACGTCCAAACGCTGAAGAGTTCAAATTATAGCAGTAGGAAAACGTCACTCTGTCCTGTCGTGCTTCACAACTCCATTTGACACAAGAGATCTACAACGTTTGTCATTGTTGTGCTGGTGTGGACATCAGACAGATCTGAAGTTGTCTCAACAAGAAACTATTCTGTTGGTTTAAATCACTTGGCATACACACAAGAAAATAATGAAAACAAAGGTGATGGATTATTAAAGATTAATTAGATTTGTTATCGATCCTTATTTTTGTAGGAAGATTTATTATTAATTTTCTTACATGTTGAATGTTGAGTGGCCTGGCCCTGGCTGGGCAAGGAGGGTGCTGTGGTGACGCTGGCGTCTCTGTCCCAGCAGGGTCCTCAATTTGAATACCAGTCGTACCGGTGCAGTCAAGACGTCACAGTCATCTCGTCACACCCCAAATCCACAAGGTTGAATTGAGACGGTCATTTCGTAGCACATTTGCAAACATCAATCCACATTGCCATGGCAATTGCAAATCACGATTTTGTTTGGGGGGATGGTTGGGGCTGTGT